ATGTCTGTGGAGGGGACATGGGGGAACCTGGTCTGGGAGGGTGGGGGGACAGGGCTGGTGGGTGCTGAGCACCTCAGAGTGCTCCTTTTGGGCACTGCTGGCTTCTGTCCCCATGGGAGGTGGCACTCAGGGGCTGGGCAGTGGCACCCAGGCGAGGGAGAAGACGAGGAGGCGACGCCGGTAACGCCGCTGCCGGTTTATTCCTGCAGCCTGGAGCTTCAGCTACAAAAAAACCCCAAAACCCCAAAGGATGAGGTGCAGACAGTTCCCAGGACAGCCCAAAAAACAGCCCCGCCCTGGCAGCAGGGAGGGACCGGCCCCCAAACAGCCTCCAGCAGCTCCTCCGCTCCATAGGGAAAGTGGGGAGGGGGGACCAGGAGAACAGGGGGGGATATTTTGGGATAATCCCAGCCCCAGTCTCTGCCTGTGGGCAGTCCTTGGGTTGCACAAGCAGCTGGGAAAAGAACAGCCAGAGCAGTCCTGGCAGCCTTGCTGGTCCTGTTGTCCCCGGAGGGGTGACAAAGAGGGGCCTCAGGCGAAGATGGTCTCCTCCCGCCGCTTCTTGGTGAGGATGGTGCCCGGCTTGTGCTGGGCATCGGGGTGGTTGGCGAGCTCGGGGGGGCACGAGGACACGGGGCTCTCCAGGATCGCCTGCTTGAGGTCGTAGAACACCGTGGAGTCCTCCTTGGTGAGGAAGGTGATGGCCACACCGCTCTTCCCTGCTCGGCCCGTCCGCCCAATGCGGTGGATGTAATCTGGGGGGGGAAATGAAGGGCTCAGTGTGGGCAGCTCCAGGGCTGGGCCCTCCCTGCAGCCCCCACTACGCTCCCAGCTCCAGGGCTGGGCACTCCCTGCAGCCCCCCCTGCACTCCCAGCTCCAGGGCTGGGCACTCCCTGCAGCCCCCCCTGTGCTCCCAGCTCCAGGGCTGGGCCCTCCCTGCAGCCCCCTCTGTGTAGCAGCACCAGGGCTGGGCACCCCCAAGAACCAATGCCAGGAACCCCCACCCCCTGACACAGGTAGCACCAGGGCTGGGCTCCCCCCACACCCTCAGCACCAGGGCTGGGCACCTTCTCCATCCCAAGAACCAGGGCTGGGCACCTTCTCCACCCCAGGAACCAGGGCTGGGCACCTTCTCCACCCCAAGAACCAGGGCTGGGCACCTTCTCCACCCCAGGAACCAGGGCTGGGCACCTCCACAACCCCCTCGGTGAGGGCAGCACCAGGGCCAGGCACACCCAGCACCAAGGCTGGGCAACCTCACAGCCTCTTCAGTGTGGCAGCACCAGGGCTGGGCAATCCCCCAAAGCCCCTCCACCGCAGGTAACACCAGGGCCAAGCACCCCAGCACGGGCAGCACAAACCCCCAGCCCCACTGGCACAGGCAGCAGCGGAGCTGGGCTCTCCCCTCAGTGCCCGCCCAGCCTCACCCTCGATGTTCTTGGCCATGTCGTAGTTGACCACCATGGAGACGTCGTGGATGTCGATGCCACGTCCGGCCACGTCCGTTGCCACCAGGATGTCCTTGGCCCCGGCCTTGAGGTTGGAAAGGGCGAACTCTCGCTGCTCCTGGCCCTTCCCACCGTGCAGGGTGCAGGCGTTGTACTGTGGGAAGAAGAGAGGGTCAGAGGGGGCACATAACGGAGTCCCCACGTGGGGATGAAGGGACAGGGCTCAGGGTGACCCCCCCAGCACAGACTCACCCCCATCTTCTCCAGGGACTTGGCCAGCACATCGCAGCCCTTCTTCTGGTTGACGAAGATGATGATGGGCGGGTCGAAGCCCTGTTCCAGGATGGCCAAGAGCTTCTTCCTGTAGAGGAGAAAGAGGAGGAAGAGACAGTTGGGCAAAGAGATGCTGAAGCGCCTCACAGATTCCCCATCACCCTCCAGCCCCCAGGCCACCCCCAGACCCCGTGCTCCCCACCTCTTCTCGGACTCGGACATGAGGAAAACCTTCTGTTCCACCCTCTCGTGAGGTTTGCCGGCCGAGCCGATGTACACCACGGCCGGGCGCCGCAGGTAACTGCGGGCCAGGCGCTCCACTGCCGGGGGCATGGTGGCCGTGAACATGACAGTCTGCAAGGGAACAGGGCAGTGACGTCCTGTGAGCTGGGAATGGCCCCAGTAGGGCAGGGAACGTCCCACAGCGAGGCAGGAATGATTGATGGGGAAGGAATGTCCCCCCTCACGGAGCAGGAATATCATCCACTGGGAAAGCACATCCCCCAGTGAAGCAGGAATGACCCCAGTGGGGCAGGAATGTCCCCCCATGGAGCAGGAACATCCCTCAAACAAACAGGAATGACCCCAGTGGGGCAGGAATATCCCCCATGGAGCAGGAACATCCCCCAAACAAACAGGAATGACCCCAGTGGGGCAGGAATATCCCCCATGGAGCAGAAGCAACCCCCAACGAGGTAAGAATGACTCCAGAAGGGCAGGAATGTTCCCCCATGGAGCAGGAACATTGCCCATGGAACAGTGATATCTTCCTGTGAGGCAGGATTGTCCCCCATGGAGCAGAAATGTCCCCTTGTGGGGCAGAAATGACCCCTCATGGGGCAGGAACACCCACTGTGGGGCAGGAACGTTCCTCCACAGAGCAGAAACCTGACTCCCATTCCCTCAACCCCTTCCCCACCCCACAGACCCCCAAAGGAGCCCTCCCAGGCTCCCCCTTGCCCACACTCACCTGTCTGTACTTGTGCTTCCCAGACTCAAAGTTGGCCAACATCTTCTCGGGGTCCTCGGCCTCGTCAGTGTCGGGTTTCTGGTTGGTGACGGGCATGTGCTCCAGGATCTTCTGCACGTCGGGCTCGAAGCCCATGTCGATCATGCGGTCGGCCTCGTCCAGCACCACGTAGGTGCAGCGGCTCAGCACCAGGTACCGGTTCTCCAGCACGTCGATGAGCCGGCCCGGCGTGGCGATGACGATCTGGGGGGCCAGGGGGGNCCCAAACCCCACAGAGATACCCCCAGGACAGTGTCCCTGCATCCCTGACCCCCCCAAACCCCACAGAGATACCCCCAGGACAGTGTCCCCACATCCCTGAGCCCCCCAAACCCCACAGAGATACCTCCAGGACAGTGTCCCCATGTCCCTGAGCCACTCCAAAGGGGTCTCCAGGGACAGTGTGTCCCAGCCCTGTATCCCCAACTCCCACAGGAAGTTGGCTCAGTCCCCCTGGGCACCACAAACCACACAGGGACTTCCCAGAGCAATGTCCTGACAGCCCTGAAGCCCCAAAACCCAGATGGGACTCCCCAGATCAATGTCCCTTTATACCCCAAACCTCACAGAAACCCCTCCTGGACCGTGTCCCTGCATCCCTGAGCCCCCAAACCCCACAGGGACCTCCTAGGACAATGTCCCTGTGCCCTCCAAACCCTGCAGGGATCACCTCAAATCATTGTTCCCCTGTCCCTCCACCCTCCAAAGCCCACAGGGACCCCCCCCAGCTCAGTGTCCCTGCATCCCTGAACCCCCAAACCACACAGGATCGATCTCCTTGTGTTTCTGAGCCCCCTAAACCTCACAGGGATCCCCCTGCATCAGTGTCCCCGCCTCCTGGAGCCCCCCAAACCTCACAGGGACACTGTCCTGGGGCCTGAGCCCCCTCCCCACCTTCTTGGCTGCGCTGTCGAGGGTCTCGGGGCGGCTGACGTCGAAGCAGAGCAGGACGGCGTCCGAGTCGCTGTAGCACAGGGGACGCACGTTGTCATAGTAGGGAGAGCCTGGGGGAAAAGGGGGTGTCACCACTCAAACCCCCACCCCAGGGACCCGGGAAAGGGGGTCTGGCAAAGGGACACAGCCCCCTGTCCTGGGCAGGGTGGGAGCACAATTCTAGAGATCCCCAAAAGGGACAAAGACCCCCCAAAACAGACACAGCCCCCCATTCCTGCTTGGGGTGAGAGACACAGGTTTGGAGCTCCTCAAAAGGGACAAAGACCCCCAAAACACAAAAGGGACAAAGACCCCCAAAACAGACACAGCCCCATTCCTGCTTGGGGTGAGAGACACAGGTTTGGAGCTCCTCAAAAGGCCCAGGGGGTTGCACAGCTCTTGAGCCCCCCAAAACAGATACAGCCCCTAAAACAGACACAGCCCCGTTCCTGCTCAGGGTGGTGGCTCTAGAGAACCCCAAGAAGGACATAGGGACATAGCTCTAGAGCCCCTGAAAAGGGACACAGCCCCCCAAAAGGCACAGAGCTACCTCCTGCCTGGGGTGGGCTGCACTGACTTGGAGCCCTCCAAAAAGGACAGAGCCCCTAAAAATAGACACAGCCCCAGTCCTGCCCGGCATGGGGGTTCACAGTTCTGGAGAACCCCAAAAGCCACAGGGGAGCACAGCTCTAGAGCCCTCTAGAACAGGCACAGCACCTCAAAAGGGACAGGGGAACACACACTCTCAGACCCCCTCAAAAAACACAAACCTTATTCGTGCCTGAGGTGGGTGCACCGAGCTCTAGAGCCCCCCAAAAGGGACAGAGCCCCCCAAAACAGACACAGCTCCCCAAAAGGGACAGAGCCCCCCAAAACAAACACAGCTCCCCAAAAGGGACAGGCGGACACTCAGCTCTAGAGCCCCCCAAAAGGGACAGAGCCCCCCAAAAGAGACACAGCTCCCCAAAAGGGACAGACGGACACTCAGCTCTGGGGCCCCCCAAAAGGGACAGAGCCCCCCTCGTGCCGGGGAGAGGGGCACAGCTCTGGAACCCCCCCAAAACGCCACCTCCGTCCCCGCAGCCCATCAACGTCGCACCGCGGCTTCACGAGGCACAGGGAAATGGATCCCGCGGTGTTTATGTAACAGCCCCCCCCGCCCCTCATTTTGGGGAGCCCCGGCAGCACCGAGGGGTGTCGGGGTGCGGGGGGGAGCCGGAGGAGGGGGTGGGACACGCTGCCACCCCCTCGGGG